AAATTAAACAAGTAAGAGTGTTATATTCGGCTATGCTGAATCTTATATACCCACCCTCAAACCTCGTTTGACTATAATGAAACTTACTTATGTCGAATTTCATCTATATACTCGTATTTTTTAGACCAGTTATAAGCGTTAAAGCAATTTTCTGAAGGGGACCTTATATAGGGGGTAGGGTCAATTATAGGTCGATCCTAATATAATTTGGTAGACAGAATTTGGTTCGTATTAAATTTATTTGTGTCGAATTTCAGTCAGCGTTGCAGTCATTTTCAGTCGGTCAATCATGGACCGATCCTCATAAAATTTTTTAGATAGATTTTGACTCGTATGAAACTTACTTATGTCGAATTTCATCTATATACTAGTATTTTTAAGCCAGTAATGAGCGTTAAAGTCATTTTCTGAAGGGGACCTTATATGGGGGGTAGGGTCAATTATGGACCGATCCTCATAAAATTTTGCATAATGATTTTGGATCATAAGAAACTTACTTATGTCGAATTTTATCGCTATATTCGTATTTTTAAACAAGTTATGGCGGTTAAAGCTGCTTTTCGATGGGCCACTTGTATGGGGGCTATCAGAAAATGTGGACCGATATTGCCCATTTTCAATACCAAACAAACCTTACCTGTAAGAAATATTTATGTGAAATTTCAACCCTCTACCTCTTTCCATTGGGACTCTATCGTGCTTTCAACAGACAGACAGACGGACGGACAGACGGACAGACATGGATAGATCGACTTAGAATTTAATGAGGACCCAGAATATATATACTTTTGTGGGTCTATGACCAATATTTCGATGTGTTACAAACGGAATGACAAAATCAATATACCCCCCATCTTTTTTGATGGTGGGTATAAAAATATGAATAACGTTTACGTTATTATAAGGTGTTGAAACTTAGAATGATATTGTCATAGAATGATAGTGTCATAGTATGATGACCCCTCTTTGAATAAAATCGTAAAATTATACATAATATACTCAAAACTATCAAACTTTGTACTTTTCAGGAATGCGCAATAGAGCTGTGGGATCTCATGCCATGAATGATCATTCCTCCCGATCACACACTATACTCACGGTACACATAATATCCGAACAACAAACTGATGGTGGAGTATTTTTATCGAAACATGGAAAAATCAATTTTGTGGATCTGGCAGGTAGCGAATTGACTAAGAAAACAATGAGCGAAGGAAAAACTTTAGAAGAAGCCAATAATATTAATAAAAGTTTAATGGTATTGGGTAAGTTTTTGATTCAAAATTTTAAATAACTTCTATAATAACTAATATATTTATTAACGTTTAGGGTACTGCATTGCCTCCCTCAGCGATAGTAAAAAACGTTTTGGTCACATACCCTATCGTGACAGTCAATTGACCAAATTACTGGCCGATAGTTTGGCCGGTAATGGTGTTACTCTTATGATAGCTTGTGTCTCACCGGCCCAATATAATTATGCTGAAACTTTGAATACCTTACGTTATGCCTCGCGTGCCAAGCGCATACGTACCAAACCTGTTATAATGATGGATCCAAGAGAAGCTCTAATACTTAGTCTCAAGCGGGATGTTCAATCTTTACAAATGGAGAATGAACATTTAAAAGCGGCCTTGAATTTACATCATAATTCGATTAAAGAAGTTGGTATTGAAGGTTCAGAAATAATGGAAATTCCCACAGATCATGGTGGTGTTATACCGAAGGTGGATTTGGAACGTTTGCCTGAACTGGATGGCAGTGAATTGGCGGAATTGGTGAAATTATATATGCAAGAAAATGAGGCTTTAAGGCAAGAGAACAATCATTTGTTTACGGTACGCGAGACTATACTCAGGGATCAGGAGATTGTGTGTCGAGAAAATGAACGTTTACTTAAGAAATTGGAGGATGTTAACAAGTAAGTTTTGGGTTTAAGGGGAAAAGTGACAGAGGGAAGGTAAGAGTGATTTTGAGGGCTTTTAAAAGATCAGGATTTCTTGGATTAATAATGATAACTTCAGTTCAAATGTTAACCCATAGTGAATGGCACCGTTTCAATGTCTAATTTCAAGACTTGTTCTGATTCTCTTTAAGGAGAAACTATAACATTTTCAGAATTTATTTTAATACCAAGGTTATGATCAGATCCAAAATATTGTTTCAAAATGATTGAAAACCTCAACTATATGAAACCCAAAAGTGTTTTTTTCCATATGATCCTCTTTGAATCTCAGTAAATAACACAGGCGGGGAATTTTTTAACCCAGATAGAAATTAGAAATTATACATTTCTAAAGAAGTATGCGAACTCCTTTAAATTCGAATCTGGGCTATCCATCACATCTAGGATTCGAGATGTCGTGTCCTGAATAAACGCCATTTTTAATGTATAACTGGCCTGTGTAATTGAACCATTGAAATCCTGGGTCTACAGTAGTATTATTTAAAATATATCCTCAAGTTTAAACCTCAAGATACTTTCCCTCTGTACCGCAACAAAGACATCAATTACTTTAATTATTAACTGGCTCATTGTTCCATTTTCAAAATTTCTCGTTTTAGATCGAGACAAGAGAATGAGAATAATGGGCTGGAGTAATAGAATTGGCAAATGAAAAATTACAAAACCAGGGACTTAAATTCGTTAAAAATAACAAAACGCACAAAAAATTATAGAAAATAATTAAATGTGAAATTAGTGTTGTGATTTTCTTGTGAAATATTTTTGATGTTTTTTATTAAAATTTAAATAAAACAAATCTAGTTATAGATCTTAAGCAATAATAACACATTTTCTTATCGTATTTAAATTTTAAAGAGTTTGTGTTCGTTCTCCTCTAATACCTGCCAGGCCAGCAATATCATCGGGTTCGGGCAGTGAAACTGCAGGCACAGAAATTTGGACCAATCCACAGGATTCGCAAACAGATGAGGAGGTATATTCCTTTACACTATTAAGTGGTGTATTTTAAAATAAAAAATTTTCTAAAATTCCAGAATCCACCCAACCTACAAGGTCGCATTTCGGAAAACAATGAAAAACGTTCACACGAAGAACAGCGTGAAATCGATCAACAACGTATTGCTCGTAATATCTTGGAAATGGCCAATAATTTTCCCAAAATTCTATCGGAAAAAAAGAAGGAAGAAACAAATAACCAACAAACAAATGCTCAAAATACAGTACAAGTGGACTTACATTCTCCTAACAATGGCCTAATGCCAGAGTAAGTTCCTCAAGTTCAAGTTTTTCTTTAAATTTTTGTTAAAATATTAAAATTTTTTATAATTTCCTTTACAGCATGTTAATTTAGAAGTTTTAACCAGAAGGGATCAAATAAAAATTGTTATCACTAAAAGAAAATAGTTTATAGTTTTATAAGTGGTCTCAATTTTTTATAAAAACTTATTTTATATAATTAAGAGTTGATTGATAAAAGTTTACATATATGAAACGAACTTTTTATGATGCAATGATTATGTATTAATATAATATATTAAAAAGGGCTTTAAAAGTATAGTTTAAATAAAGAAATTAAACAATTTTAATTTAAATTCCTCAAGAGTTTTTCACTGTGATTAATTCAATTAAACTTTTTAGTTACACGAATCAACTTTTGAACTTGTTTACGATAATCGTGCAATTTTTTGAACAGAGTAAAGATTTGGGTAATTTGGGTAGCAGCAAAAGTGATCGTTAGAATAGTACTTTTGTACCTTATGTTATCATGTCAAAAAATCGTCCATAAGTTAAGTAAAACGATATTTAACAATCACAGTTTTCTATAATATTTGAACTTAAAAATGCTATTTGATCGTTCCTGAAACATCTATTATGAGGATCTTTTATAAAACTATTATCTAGAAAGAATACAAGTTGATTAGACTGTGTGACAGAAAAAAAATTACTCAACATGTAGCCAAGTGCAGTTTGTGGATCTATATTTCGAATTTTTAGTACATATACCCAGTAATTGGGCAGAAATCCCGATGTAAAACAAACTCTTCCACTATTTAAAAAGTATAATTTCCCGCTCAATCTTCTTAACATCTTATAAAGAAGATATAAACATAATTTTCAGCAAATGTTATGGGAGACTTAAACTTAGTTTGTCGCATAACATAATCTAGACAAGTGTAAGTTTCTGCATTCAATAACGTAACTATCGAAGAACGGAATTCCAACAAAAAACGGAAGAAAAAGAAGAATCAATTGCATTTTGTTTCAATACTTTACGATTCCGTATAACGATCATAGGTACGTCTTTGCATGTGATTATTTTAACGATGGAGCGTCAAATCGAAATGCAGAATATCAAAGTTGCTAAACGGACAAGTGTAAGTGACAGATCATTGTGATAATTAAACCACAGAGATGTTCAAGAACTTCGGTGAAAAACTATTTTGAATACACGTGGTTGTTCCAAACTTTAGGTTGAGATATCTCAAAGTAGGTATAATATACATATAACAGATGTTAAACGTTGACAGAGTGGACTTTCAGATTACATAACAGGTTTTCTAAATAAAGAAAAAGAAGAATCAATTGCATTTCGTTTCAATGCTTTACGATTCTATATAACGATCGTAGGCACGTTTTTGCTGGTGGTTATGTTATTATCAGAGGGTCAAATCAAAATGCAGAATATCAAAGTAGCTAAACAAAGAAAATTTCGATTCGAATTCAAATGTAGAATAGACGTGATTATAACGTATCAAATATGGTGAAAAACTTGGTTTTTCAAATATTAGAGCACGATGACCTGTAATAATCTATTGACACTTAGGAAGAAACACTTTCCAAGCTTTAAGCAGGAGATGAATTAAACAATTCTGCAAATATATATTTTGCTCGCATATCATGACGCTATTGACAATATTGATTACAACAGTCGAGACGATTAATAGGAGCATTTGGAAAACTCAAAAAGCAGTCAAAGATTATGAGCCTAAAGCGACATGGCCACACATCAAATTTGTTGACTCAAACGGTAACTTTTTTGATTGTGTTAGTGAAAAAAACTCACATGTATATATGCGGTGTGAGTTTTTTACTAACGCAATCAAAAAATTTACCGTTTGAGTCAACAAATTTGATGTGTCGCCAAGGCTCTTAATAGTATACCCACAATTGGGACGAACGACGAATTTTTCGGAACGAATATTCGTCTTCAGAAATAGAACACACTTGGGTATATGAAAATGTACACAATAATCAAAAATTTTTTATGCTCTTAAAATAATCTCTGGGTCATAAAAACTAAAAATAAAATTTTCGAAAATTCGAACTTAAGTTCGAAAAATGTTTAAAGCCATTAAAACCAGTTCTCGTGCCCCGAATTGTCTGAAATTTGGCTGTCTGTAGTACACTTGATGACACTACAATGCTATGTTGGAATATTTAAAATTAAGTTCAAAAATTCGAAGTAATGTTCGAAAAACTTTTGAAGCTGTTAAAATAATCTCAAAATTGGGGATATTCACAAAAATATAATTTAAGTTCTTTTCGAGGCCAATTTCTTACATTTTCTAATTTCGAAATAATGTTCGAATAAATTTTAAAGCTGTAAAAATTATCAAAATCGTGGAGATTCACAAAAATATAATTTTTGTTAATTTTTCTTACTTTTTCCTCTTTCGAACAAACAAATTTTGAAACGAATACGCAGTACGAATAATTTGATTGTGTTCCATTCGACGAATTTACGCAACGAATTGTGGTCGAATAGTTCGTCGTGCTATACGAAATTCGTCGTTCGTCCGCATTGTGCGTATACCATAAAGTTGAACGAGGATAAAACGCATAAGATTATGAATCTAAAACATCATAACGTCTCGACAAACATATGTACACTACACTAGGGCCTTAAGGTATACTGTAAAGAAGACATGGATGGGATTAAATGCAAAAAAGTGCGGCCCCAAACATCGTTAAGATGACTAGGTAACACTAACTAGCACCAGCATGTATAAGACAGAAATAACTGGATTTCTATTTTACTTCAGGATGAAAACGATAATCGATTGTAATTGACATAAAGTTGAACTGCACCGTTCTAAAGCATTCGGTCCAAAAACTGAACTGATTCTTTACAGTTTTTAATAGTTTTTCACTTGCATAGGTCAACATTTTTTGGAATTGTTCAATTACACCTTTTTTCCAGGATTAGGGTATCATACTGGTGTTCCTATTAATGATCTTATGAAGGTTTTTCTTGAGAGTTGGCGAAGTAGATATTTCTCTTAGCTGGAAGCGCCTGAATTCCATATCTTGTGAAGATAATGAAGAGGAAGATGAACCTAAGTAGGATGAAGAATAAAGAAGAACAGTTAGAACCACATGAGCAACTAGAGTCAAAACTAGAGCTAAAATCGCTGGAGAATAGGGAAGCAACTGATCTTTTCGAAGATAAACGACACCTGCACTTAGTCTATTTATTTCTTCGTTGGCTGCTTTAAGACGTTCAAATTCTTCAACTATAATGCAACCTGTTTGGGCTTATAAAGAAGGTTTTTAACTACTCAAGGTTTCCAAGTTTTAATTTTTTCGTTGACTGCTCCCGAAGCCGGAGATAACATTCCATTAGTAAATCTCGAGTTATTTGGCAGTTGCAAAAGGTACACACAGAAAACAGATCGATTGGAAATCGGTTACCATGATAAATATTTAGTTAAATTAATTAAAATTGTATAGATGTTATTGAAAAACTGTAAAATTAACTGATTTTCTATATTCAGAATTAAAAAACCATAATATTAATCGAATTGTGGTTGTAACAATTTCCAAATCAATAATTTGAACTGAATTCTATTGGTTATTAAATTCATTTGTGAATTCAGTAAATGCAGCCGACTTTTATTTAGGATTAAAATGTAAGAACATCAAATATTAGTCTCTGTAACCGAAAAACAGTAGAAAGTAAAAAATATTGACCACTGCAACCAATTATCAACTGATAAAATTATTTAAAATTTAATTACGGTTAAAGGAACCAAATTCGATGTTCACAACCGATGAATTGGTAATTATATTTGACGTATGCAAAAATAAATAAAATAAAACGATTTTATAATTGAATAATAAAACTAATAACAATTAAATGTAAATTAATACGGGAAAATGGGATAGAAAAGGTAAGTTTAGTCTATCTTATATCTTAACATCTATTTTGTGTTATTTTCCTATAATCTTTAATAATATTACAGCAGCGGAAAAGCGTGATATGGTAGTGTTCCTTTGGAAATGTTGGACAGAATTAAGAGTAAAATCTCTGGTACATAAACATAGCTTTTACCATCAATATGTCAAAACTAGAGAAGAAAAGTGACTATTTTATAGTAATAAGTTTTGTAGGTTTGTAAATGTACATTTATATTTATATTTTATTGTAATTATTTTAAACAAAATAAAATATATTTTCAAATAAACATAATCCACAAATTAGTTTTAATAAATAATATTTCAGTTCCAAATACCGATCATTTCGATCCAGATTATCGAAAAATAATTTAAAATAGTTGCGTACACCATATATTCAGTAACAGGAACCGAATTTTACAGTAGTTACAATCGAATTATGGGGTAGTTATGAGAACCGACTGAATTCGATTGGAAACAAATTCGGTTATCACAACGAATCTGTTTTCTCTGTGTAGCTTTCGGTTAATATTCCATCATAGCAAGGTGTAACCTTTATATTTTTAACGATCCTTTTCATTTGAGTTGGTTAGGTGCCACTCCACTAGGAGGCTATAAAGTCCATTGCAATTCCTTTCATTGAAAATGAAGATCCAATGATAGAGAAACAAAACAATAAAGAACATAGTTTAAATTCCATTAAAGCGAGGTATAACGTTTATATTTTTGACGATCTTTTTCATTTCAATTGGTTAGTTGCAACTCCACTAGGAGGCTATAGAGTCCATGGTGATTCCCTTCATAGAAAGTAAAGATCCAATGATAGAGAAACAAAACACTAGAAAAAAAAAACAATAAAGAACATAGTTAAAGGGGGAGAAATGAAAGGAAATAGGTCGATTCCCAAGAGGACTATTACAGGTTAAGCGAAGATGCAGAAGAACTATAGACAGAACAACAGAATTTCAGATTAAAATGGTTGATAGAAATTGAGGAACCTAAACCTCGTAATCTATTAGGTCTTCAAGAAGATTTTATGAGTCAATTCTATAAAGAAGGAAATGTGAAAGCAGCTGATTCTCAATATAAAACTCAATCGAAGAAATGACAATAAAACCTAGTAGATTACGAGGGTTAAGTTCCTCAATTTCCCTCAACCATTTTAATCTGAAATTCTGTAATTATGTCTATGCATCTTCGCTTAGCCTGTAATAGTCCGGTTTATTACTGTCCCACTTACTGACAAAGACCCCAATTGAGAAATGCCCTATTGGCCCTATCCTTATCAGAATTCTTAGCCTGCTTCTAACTACTCTTATTAG